ACATTTTGGGTGAACTATCCCTTTAACATTCACCTTTCTTCCAATTCCTTCAGGACATAGTGAACAAATGCAAACAAAAGGTTTTGAACCTTTTCAGAATCACATACCTGTATTTACAATGGCTGGTTTCCTTAAAAGAAATTAGCTGTTTAGTAAAAAATGTTCTTTCAATCACCTAAAAAGTTTAGATAATGTATATTATATTGGTGTTATGAACAACAACAAGAAGTAAATGTTATATCCCACTTTTACAGACATGATTCAGTATACACAAAGCAAATCTCAGGAGAACCGTAATATACTGGTCATTTCTGCAAATTAAAATCATGACTGTAAACAATGAGACAGACAATTAGTGCATAATAAATGGTGCATCTGTTGCAGTGTTGGGGAAAGTTACTTTTAAAAGCAATGCATTACAATATTGCGTTACTCCATAAAAAAGTAACTAATTACGTTACTTAGTTACTTTTTATGGAAAGTAATGCGTTACGTTACTTTTGCGTTACTTTTCAAATCTGGACAGGGCTTGCTTGTTTGTTTTTAAAATAAAAAAAGTTATATTTTTGGCAAATGTAAAAGCCTTTTCACACCAAAAGTGAAATGACTAAGCTTCAGGCTGAAGGGAAAGTAAATTTACATCCATACAGTAGAATGCAGAAGAAGAAATTTCAACACACTTCAGCAATAAAAAAAAAAGACACAGATGTTTGTCTAGAGTAATTTTTGCTTATTAGTTGTACTGGATCATCGAAGGTCAGAAACAAAGACATTGGTTAATAGAATGGGATTAAATACATAAAGGATATTTGTGTTGTTTAACATTTAATTATTGCAGGTTTGCGTCATATGAGTTGCATTATTTGTATTCATTTTGAGGAATACTGAATCAGTTTTTTTTTGTGAGTGAGATGAATAATGCATATTCATATTTATTTTAGAACTACAGTAACATCTTCTGATTTCTCTCAACATGGGGACACCAGAGCTGTCAATCAATAAATTGGAAAAAAAAAGTAACTCGCGTTACTTATTTGAAAAAGTAACTCAGATATTCTCTTGTAAATTAAAAAGTAATGCGTTACTTTACTAGTTACTTGAAAAAAGTAATCTGATTACGTAACTCGCGTTACTTGTAATGCGTTACCCCCAACACTGATCTGTTGTTGCTTAACCAATAACAGTAACAACAGAAGAAATACACAAATTTTTCACAATTCTTTTGGATTTTATTACTCCCGTGTGTGAAAAGCCTTCATCCAGGGGTAAATTTCTAAAAGTCTTCACTCCTTCATCTCTGCAATGTTTTTGATGGAGCCAGCCGGGTCTGTCTTGTAGAGCATGAAGTGTCCTTGCACCTGAGCGGCGCTGAGCTCTGTGTGTGCTGTCAGCGCTTGCTCGGCGAACTGCTCAGCCTCGGCTGCAGACTCCTGAGGGTAAAACCTCCGGAACATCTGAGTCAGCTGCCAGTGAGAGCAGTGGCCCACATACTGCTTCAGATCAACACGGCCAGGTCGAACAAGAGCCGGATCAAGTCTTCAGCACACGGAGGAGAAAAAAAGAGAAAGGGGAGAAAATAAAACAATACCATGTTATACTTATAACAAGAATAAACACAGGTGTTCATGACTATTGGGTACGTACTTAAACATATAAAATATATTTTACGTATTAAATATATGTGACACTTGGCCAAAAAAAACAGTCTTAAGTCGCTGGGGTATATTTGTAGCAATAGCCAAAAAAACATTTTATGGGTCAAAATTATCGATTTTTTCTTTTATGCCAAAAATCATTAGGATATTAAGAAAAGATCATGTTCCATGAAGATATTTTGTACATTTCCTACTGTAAATATATTAAAACTTAATTTATGATTAGTAATATGCATTGCTAAGAACTTAATTTGGACAACTTGATTCAAAGGCGATTTTCTCAATATTTTGATTTTTTTGCACCCTCAGATTCCAGATATTAAAATAGTTGTATCTCGGCCAAATATTGTCCTATCCTAACAAACCATACATCAATGGAAAGCTTTCAGCTTTCAGATGATGTATAAATCTCAATTTCGAAAAATTTACAATTATGACTGGTTTTGTGGTCCAGGGTCACATATATTATATTGAATTTATATATTAAATATAACATATAATACACATTTCGATAAATATTCAATTATCTGCTCAAATCTGCTTATCACTATCTTGAACTGTAAAACAAAAGTTTATTACCACTAATCTTCGTTATGTTTATAGAGGCAAAAGGGCAAAACGACAAGGATTTTACATTCCAACTTACATCAAAACAAAAAAGTCATGCACAATGAACAAACTGCAGTATTGAGCTTTACCTCTCAATGAAATTAGTTGTCATGAACACAATTCGGGCCTCTGAAGATGCCACTCCATCCAGAGCATTGAGAAGTCCACTGAAAGTGAGTCTTCCCATGCCCTGATAGGCCAGTGGAGCTGTGAGAACAAGCCAAGGAAGAATAAATGAGATCAACAAGAGCAGAAATATTTCATGGTGCTGTTAATGCCATGGCTAGAGACCAAACTGTTATTATAATTAAACACATGTGATTGTAATTACATTATATTCCAAACAGACAGTGAGAGTTCAGAAGCACTGCAGTCTGTAAGACATACTCTCTGTGGGCAGCAGCTCCCGGCTGATGAAGGCTGCATCCACGTCCTCTAGCAGGATGATGCTTTGCTGTGGAGCGACACTCAGCAGGTGGTTGAGGCGATCGTCAGACAGGCTGCGGTCACTGAGACTCATCAGACAGATGCTGTAACCCAGCTCGCCTGCTAACGCAGTTCTGAAATACCACAAGAATGGTAATGGTACTTGGGACTCCAAATTGTACATTTAACTGATTGCTTTCTTGAAGTCATATTATACCATTTTTAAAAAATGGTTCTTGCACGGCAGTATAAAATTAGCAACATATACGATTGCATTTTGTATAGTTTGTTTGTTTATTTATATTCTTCTTAACGCCATTCCAACATCTATGGCTATATTCATGGCATAAACCAGTTAATACACAAGTCTGCATTTTGCCTAGTAACAGATTATTAGAGTCAATAAATACATATATACATAATATTATAAGTATATGTAGTACTGTTCATAACTTTGGGGTCTCTAAGATTTGTACTATTTTTAAATAGGTCTCTTATGCTCACCAAGGCTGCATTTATTTGATCCAAAACAAAAACAGTAATAATAGTCTGAAATACCACAAGAATGGTAATGGTACTTGGGACTCCAAATTGTACATTTAACTGATTGCTTTCTTGAAGTCATATTATACCATTTTTAAAAAATGGTTCTTGCACGGCAGTATAAAATTAGCAACATATACGATTGCATTTTGTATAGTTTGTTTGTTTGTTTGTTTATTTATATTCTTCTTAACGCCACTCCAACATCTATGGCTATATTCATGGCATAAACCAGTTAATACACAAGTCTGCATTTTGCCTAGTAACAGATTATTAGAGTCAATAAATACATATATACATAATATTATAAGTATATGTAGTACTGTTCATAACTTTGGGGTCTCTAAGATTTGTACTATTTTTAAATAGGTCTCTTATGCTCACCAAGGCTGCATTTATTTGATCCAAAACAAAAACAGTAATAATAGTAATGCTGTGAAATATTAATACTATTTAAAACAACTGTTTCCAATTGTAATATGCTTTAAAATTGTATTTATTTCTGTGATGGCAAAGCTGATTTTCAGCAGCCATTACTCCAGCCTTCAGTGTCACATGACCCATTCTAATATGATGATTTGGTGTTCAAGTTTATTATTACTATCATCTATGTTCAAAACAGTTGTGCTTCTTAATTTTTTTGTGGAAATCATGATACATTTTTTTCCAGGATCCTCTGATGAATAGAAAGTTCAAAAGAATAGCATTTATTTGATACAGAATATAAGAATAACACTTGGTCCTCTCAGATATTTATATTCATATTGTTGTAACTTTGTCTGTCTACTCTGCACCAATCTACACTCTGTATACTTTATCAGACACTATTATTCATAGTAACATCTACTATAAACAAAGCAACTGTGCTTACATGAAGCTGCTCTTTCCACAGCCTGGGGGTCCATACAGCAGATATCCCCTCCTATATGGAATGCCTGATTGAAACATATTCATCAACAAAATTGGAATAAAAAAATAATTAAAACATAAAACAATAAAAAAAAACAACCCTTTTATTTATTATTATAAAGATTTCACATTACATTAGAGGTGCGCATGCATTTTTTTCCTAATATTTTTAAGTATGAAAAATGCTTTTTTCACCTCTGTCAGTGTACCACTTAGGATTGCCAATGAACTCCTTTACATCATCCACGATCCTCTCCGCCAAACCATTCTCCAGCACTACTGAAGACAGAGGTCGTCTTCGCCTTGGAAACCCGAATGGCCTCCACTCTGCTCCAAGTGCAGTGTACATCACAGTTCGGCCCTCTTCTTGCTTTAAAGCAAGTTCACGTGCTGCAGGGACACAGAATCAATCATTAAGACTGCAACATATTTATGAAAAATTCAGCTGTTGGTCTACTATACATGTGAAATTCACTGCAGGTGCTGACACAACACTGTCGAATGAAGGAAAAATTAATAAAACAAAATCTAGCTGCTCATACCTTCTTGAAGTATGTTGAAGAATATTTGGCGGTCTCTGCCCAGAGCAGTGAAGGTGACGGACTCCCAGGGTGTTCCAGTGTGCAAGTCAACCATCTGCTTTTCTCTGGTCCTCTCTACTCTGATCCACTTCCTGCCATACCTGAAAACACAAAGCCTCAGTCAGAGACATGGATAACTATGTGCTGGATTGATCTCTGAGAGAAGATCAAATAAGCAGCACATTGAATGTAAAATGTCCAAAGTAACATCCCAATATATTCTGATCGTACCAAATGATGTGGTTGCCTGGACTCGGATGGAAGTCAAACTGTGTGTGGACTCGTCCACTCTCATGCTGCATGTATGAGGTCTCTACACTCAAATGCTGGGTGTGTTTGGCATGTTTAGTGATCCAGCTTAATAGCCAGTGATAACTTTTATCTCTGCTTGGGACCTCCAGCGTGATCATGTAATGTCTTCTGAAGAAGATCATGCCGACCTGTGCCCCTTTTCTGGCAACCGCAAGTGCTGTGCCAATACCAACTAGTCCAAATCCTGCCCCAAAGTAAGGGTTGTCCTTAAGGGCTCCAATAAAATCTGACAGGGTCATGATGAAGGTGTCTTCAGGATCTCTTATTCAGTCAGGAAAAGCTTTTTTTGTCCCTTCATTGCAATATGCAGCCTACATTCACAGCAGAGGAGGTGAAACCATTTTCATTTTAATTTTGATGAGAGCCTTGAGACTGATAAAACATTATGGCAAGCTGTCACTGATCAGGTCTATCTTTTTATTTAAATAAATGCAGATTTAAAAAGTCTCTATACTTACGGCAGAGGAAATATCACACCGCATTTTAGCTTAACGTAAACGAAAAATACGCGAATAAAATGCAATAAAGCACACCCTTTCTACAGTAACCCAGCGTTGTCTCTCATTGATGATTGAACAAATAGTTATTTTGGGTGAGTCGAATCTTTTCCATGACTGATTCAATGAACCGATTCACAAATCAATCACGTTTTAAATTCGCATTATTTTGAATCAGTTATTTTAGACGAACTGTTCAAAAGAACCGATTCACTAAAATGAAATAAGCAAATCACATGGCGACCTCTGTTGTTTCCGTTGTTCAGGAAAATAATTCCGTGTGAATTGTGTTTCATTAATAGTTCCGTTGTGACTGTTTACGACGCAGTCGCCTTATGACACTTTTAGGTATTCTTATAAATAACTGTCTGTAGATTTTGTGTATTTTAAAATGGATTATTCTCCGCTATGTATACTAAATTATGATGTCAGAATTCATATTCCTCTTTGAACAGAAAAATTCTAGAAATGACGCCGCTTACATCGTTTCCATCCACACAGATGAAGGTAATTTCTTATTATATAATTTAAGTCATAAATAATGTGTAGTAACATAATACAGTATTAATGCATTATAATGTTTATTCATCTCTTGATGATGATTATATTCGCGTTGTTTGCTTGAATTGAACACATCTGCTGTTCCTTGGGGATGCGTTGTTTATTTGTTTATCAGAGCAAATGAAACAAGAACCACCGCGCAGGAGGTCCCAAATTTGTTTCATAAAACCATATTTTCTCCAACAAAAACGCACTGGATTAATTGCTTTATGTCCTTTATGCTAACAGACAAAAACCCTGATAAATCAACTCTTTAAATCTCAAGTCTGGTAATCCAGAAGTCTGTTAATCACATTTTGATCTCCCTGGTGATGTCCTGGGAGACGGAAACACTTAATGGTCCTGATGCTGTAATAGAGTTTTACCCCTCTCTAGAGTCGATTTTATCCCTCACTGACTGATGTCCTGTCGAGTTTGACCCAGACATGCACCAACAAGAGCCTGGATATGATGCAGAACAACTCAAGCATGTGGAAAATAATGTAGCAGATACACCGGAAGGTAAAATACAACAATACTTATAAAACCATGTTTAATTAATTATATATTCAGTAAGATATAGTCCTTTGGCATGCATGGGTCTCTGGAATATTTTATTTCAATTGGTCAGTTGCTAGATTCACATCTCTCATATCTGTGTCTCCTCCTTAAATAATTACTACTCAGATTAATGTTTCATGTGTATTTATTTGTATATAAATATAATGTACAATCAGTCGGTCTTTACTGCAGAATAAACCAAGACAGGGTGATCTCTGAAAGAGTTCATTTTGAGATAAGCTGAAAATATTATCCCACTTATATATTGTATGAGTTTGTCCTGTTTTACAGCTTTGACAGCTTACAGATAATAAGTGTATTATTTTCTATCTGATATAGCTTTGTCTCAGTCGAAGGGGATGGATATGGCTGTGCAACCTAGAAGCAAGAAAAGTGTATCCAAAAAATTGAAAGCATCAACAAAAAAGGGGAAAAAATGTACTACCATTAGCCAAGAAAAGCCTTTATCTAAAGGTAAATATCATGAATGTTAATAGATGTTGTAATTAAAATAATTGTAATCCCAGGTCTGACTTACAGCATCTTTCTGTTTAGTGGGACATGTTGCAGAGGGCACGGAACACATGTTTCGCACCCACATCTGCTCTGAATGCAGACGCTGCTTCAAGACACGCTCCCATTTGATAGAACACATGCGTATTCATTTTCCTGACCCCAGTCTGCAATGTCCAAGCTGTAAACACTACTTCACCAGCAAGAGTAAGCTACGCATCCACATGCTAAGAGAGACGGGACAGAAACTGCACCTCTGTCATCTATGTGAGTATAGAGCGGTGGAACGTAACTCTCTGCGACGACACCTTTCCAGTGTGCATGGGCATCAAGAAGATGATGCTCCCAATGGAGAGTTGTTTAAGTGCCCAACTTGCCAAAAGACTTTCAGTCAGAGTCAGGCATTAAAGAGCCATATGAAGTCTCACAATAAGACACAAAATGAACAGCCGTTGCTTTGCTTCAATAAAGGCTGCTCATTTCAGTGTACAGAAAAGAAGCAGCTTCAAAAGCATGTGTTAGATGCTCACCAAATTGAGGCCGTCGAGTGCCGTCATCATGCCTGCGGCGCCTTCTTCGGGAGCCTGGAAGACATGGAGAAACATTTCCGCACACATCAGGCTTATCACTGCCCCCACTGTGACTTCTCATGCTCAAATAAGAGCCTTTTTCAGCAGCACAAAAGACAAGGACATCCAGGGAATCAAGAACTGAACTGTAGCTTTTGCCCTTTCTCAACCCTCAACCCTGTAGAGTTCGATCAACATGTTGGTCACTTTCATGCCAGTGAGAAAACACACCACTGCTCACAATGCAGCTTTGTAACAGCTCACAAAAGAGTCCTGAAAAGACACATGCTGATGCATACTGGTAAGATATTCAGTTGTTCTACTTAGTTCTTATAAGTGTTTATTGGTATAATTCACTCAAAAATGAACATTCGGTCATCATTTTTTCAGTCTTGTTATTTCAGCCCCGTATTATTTCTTTTTTTTTCATGAAAAAAAATCTAAATTGGATCATGATTGGTTTATAAGTCTCTAAAAATCTTATCAAAAACAACAAAAGTAGTCCATACAACCTGTGTGATATATTCCAAGTATTGTGAAATAATACAGGTTTAGGTATCTTCCCCTCTGCTGTAACTCTCATATAGTTTGTACAAAGCTATACAGGTGCATCTCAATAAATTAGAATGTCATGGAAAAGTTAATTTATTTCAGTAATTCAACTCAAATTGTGGTAATAATTTTAACTCAGTTGTAAGGAAATTAATGATTATTATCGATTCAGGTTTTGATAGGACTCGGATTTGAAGAGCCTAATTCAACCGTTTAGCTGTAGCAAACTTGAGTATAGCAAGTCCCTAAGTATAAATCACCATCTGTTTTCATTCTTTTGAAAAGAGCAGGTTGGACATCTTTGTTTGTATTTCACAGAGGAAATAAAATTATATAGTGTTTTAAACAACATAACAGTAAATGATGACAAAAGGTTCATTTTTGAATGAACTATTTCTTCAGAATTGCACACTGGCCATAAATAGATGGATAACATTTGTATTTACAGGTGAAAAGCCCCACAAATGTACACTATGTGACTTCAGATGTCGTGATGAGACATACCTTTCAAAGCACATGCTGACGCACTCCAATGACAAACAGCACATGTGCTCAGAATGTGGATATGTTACAAAATGGAAACACTACCTCAGTGTCCACATGCGTAAACATGCAGGAGATCTAAGGTACATACCTTGACTGAAATTAAAATATGGTAATAAAAATAACCATTTCCGTTTACTCACCTGCCTCTCATCTCTCTCAGGTACAAATGTAATCAGTGTCCATATCGTTGCCATCGCATCGACCAGCTGAACAGCCATAAACTCCGTCACCAGGAAAAATCCTTGATCTGTGAGGTGTGTGCATACTCCTGCAAGAGAAAGACTGAACTGCGCAGCCATATGCAGCTCAAGCACTCAACAAATGCAGATCCACAACCTTCTGTTTACCAGTGCAAGTTTTGCCCTTACACAACAAAGTACCGGCAAGCCCTGCATAGCCACGAAAACTGCAGGCACACCCGGACACGCATGTTCCGCTGCGCACTCTGCCGCTACACCACATTTAGCAACACCAGCCTCTTCCTGCACAAAAAGAAATCCCATGGATATGTGCCTGGAGATGTGGGATGGCTTGAGAAATATGCAGAGAAAGAAAAAGAGCAAAGCTCTGCAGATTTGACGCACAACTTTTTCTCCAAAACCACAGTACCTCAGACTTCAAATTCAGAATATAGGGAAGAAACGGTTAATACAAAGGAGTCTAATAGGACTATAGATGATTCAAAAGATATGTCTGTAAATGAGAATGAGAATGATGCAATAGCAGCCACTATTGGAGGACCTGAGGAAATGACTTTAGTACAGCAGGCCAGTCTTGATATTGAGTCTGCAAGAGAAGAAGCAAGTAATCTTTCTGAAGGACATCCAACGGATGAAGAACAGTGTGGCTTCCCACTTTTTGCTTCCCAAACCAGCCAGAGTAGCACACAAATGGTACTTGCCGAGACCGTAAATATACATGACACTGCATTTGATTTTGAATCTCACACATTGCATACAGTCCACCAGAATTTCCCACAACTATCAGCTGATGATGATGATGATGATGATAATGCAGCTTACTGTGAAGATCAAAGTGACTCTGAAGACCTGCCACCAGTGACAGAAACTGAAAGGAGCACAGAGGGTCTCCATCAGGAGAAATGTGTAGAGGCCTCAGCTACTGAGACTCGCTTGCAATTCATGAGAAAACAGGATAAAGACCAGGCTGAAGCCCTTGTACTAGAGGGCATGGTGCAGATGCTTGTCGTCCAGACACGGGGCAATATGTATCAGTGTAGCCGCTGCTCCTATGTGACCAGAAAGCAGGCAGCATTAATCCGGCACCGCAAGTCGTCCTGCCAGGTCATGAAGGCTGGACTACGCTGCCAGGACTGCGGCATGCAGTTTAAACAACAGCGTTCTTTGAACACACACCTCCGGAAGTGCCAGTCACTGCAGAGGCACAGAAAGAAGTTTGATTTTGCTAGCACTGTAGGTACATCAGGGAGTTGTGTTGGTAGTTCAGGGAGTGATGCATCTATACAGGAACGAAGTGCATCTCTTAAATCAGGATCCCTCACAATGCATCCTGAACTTGTTGATATCACTGATTCTAAAGATTCAAGAGTACAAGGTTCAGCTGAACCTGAAGGCTCACTGTCTCCTACCATAACTGCTGTAGTAAATGAGACTGATTCACTGACAGGCACAACCAAAGGTGGGCAGGCAACTATCGAGAGTAGAAACAAGCGAGCAGAAGAGGAGTTGGTAAATGATGAGATCTCTGGGTGTACTGAAGATGATGGTAGGTATACTTGCAGAAAATGTCCTTTCTCATCTGTTAGGAAAGTCACAATAGATCGCCATTGTGCAGCATGCAGTGTAAGCACCCATAAGGTACATCTAGCTGAAACAGGAGAGCAGTTTGAGCAAGAGGATAATCCTAGTGACTCAGACCATGATCAGGAGGAAGATGGGGCAAATGACTCGGAAAGAGATTCAGGAGAAGAAGAGACCCCTCAAAACACCAAACCTCGATTCTCATGTCCTAACTGTCCTTTTCTTTGCCACCAAAAGAGAGCTCTAACAAGTCATCAGATAAAGGGCTGTTTAAAACCAGGTCAAATACAGTGTCCACAGTGTTCATTTGTAGCCAAATCGGAAAAATCTCTCAACCATCATATCCTAGGTCACAAGAAAGACAAGAAGGTTACTAGAGGTCAAATATCCGGAAACCTGCAGTGCAATCTTTGCTCCTTCACCTGCAAGCAAGAGCGTTGCCTGGCACAGCATGTTGCTGTGAAGCACGAGGGAGTCCATCCTCACCAATGCCGGTTCTGTTCATTTAGCACAATCCGTCGGTACCGCTTGGAGGCCCACGAGTCCATGCACACAGGTGTTGGGAGGCATAGCTGTGAACTCTGTGGCCAAACTTTCGGCACCACGTCCAGACTACGCTTGCACCATCAACGCATTCATGACAAACAGGCAACGCACTTCTGCTCGCTTTGTGACTACAGAGCTTATAACCTCAACGACATCAACCGTCACAACTTGAGCTGCCACACTGGTGATCTTAGCTACCATTGCAGCCAATGCAATGCACGTTTCAGCTCCGAAGTTGCCCTGAGGCAGCACTCCAACCGAGCACATCCAGATGCGAACAGCTTGTCTTGCACTCAGTGTAGCTTCACCTGCAGCTGCCAAGCTGCGCTCAAAGCGCATTTGCAGCATGAACATTCAGAAATCAAGACGAAAGAGCCTCAAAATGGTACAGAAAAACAAAGCAAGATATCCATCACCCATCAATGCTTGGTTTGTTCCTTCAGCACCCATAAAAAAATCCTGCTGGTCCAGCACATGTTAGATGAGCATGAAGATGGACCAGCAGAGGAGAAAACTCTGAAGTGTGATGTCTGTGGTTTCTCTTGCACCCACCAAGTGGTGTTTGACCAACATGTGCGGTCACATGGAGGAACCTGCCTCTTTAAGTGCACTGAATGTGAGTTTTCCACCAGGAACAAACAGAAGATCACTTGGCACATTCGAATCCATACAGGAGAGAAACCTTACCGGTGTGAGAAGTGCAGTTATGCATGTGCTGATCCTTCAAGACTAAAGGTATGAAGAGCTATTATCCAAGATATTGATTGAAGGTTTGGGTATTTGGTTTTTGATGTCCAGTTCTGTTGGTGCTTCAAATTTAATGAATCTCTCTTTATTTTAGTATCATATGAGGATTCACATGGAGGAACGCAAGTATCTCTGCCCAGAATGTGGCTACAAATGCAAATGGGTCAACCAGCTGAAGTATCACATGACAAAACATACAGGTAGCTATGTATGTGTTATATAGTCTTTCGCTAAATGTAAAGTTCCTGCACACCTTGATGTTTATCCTTCTTTCCAACAGGCGCTAAACCGTACGCATGTGAGGACTGTGAGTACCGGACCAACCGTGCTGACGCACTGCGCATCCACCGGGAGACACGCCACAGAGACGTGCGTTCCTTTATATGCGAGAAATGCGGAAAGGCTTTCAAGACGCGCTTCCTTCTTAAAACACACCAGAGAAAGCATAGCGAGGAGCGACCTTATGTGTGCTCCATATGCCAAAGGGCGTTCCGCTGGCCAGCGGGTCTCCGCCATCATTATCTGTCCCACACCAATCAGCTGCCATTTTATTGCCTCCACTGTACATATCAAGCCAAACAGAAATTTCAGGTTGTGAAGCACCTTCAGAGACATCACCCAGACTTGCCTGTCCAAGATGGTGTGGGTAAAGACCAAGAGGCCTCTAGAATGGGTACACAAAAGACCTGGATTAGGGAAGAGGAAGAAAGACAAGAAAAAGGGGGGGACATGTAGCTGTGTTTCTGTATGCATTTCAGTTGACATTCCTTCATCTTATGAAAGTATTACATAACATAACCCTCATTCAAACCACAATGAATAAACATTTTTACAATATATTTATTCCTGTTATTCCTGTTTATTCCTTTAAATAGCATTTTCTAAAGATAAAAACAATATTTACCTGGGCAAGTACACACATAATGAGAATATAAGTCATTTACTTTGAACACTTGCCTTTGGGTTATTTATAAAAGGCACTTAATCATGCTCAGTTACATTAATTTAGATAATGTACAACCTTAAGGATGCATTCTGCCATGACTATATAACCTTAAATAAAATGCATTAGATTTTTTCATTAACAGTACACTCAGTATTGCATAGATACTAAACAACTAAAAAATACAACTAATAACAACTAAAAATAAAATGTGCTTTTACGGAAAAGGATTTTCTGCACCATTCTTGGAGGTCTATTTTGACAACAAGGCACTACTAACACCATGCAACTACAGTACTATAGAGGTACTCTTAAAAAATAATCATAGTTGCTATACTTTTTTGTTTTAATGCAAGGATTAGTGATTAAATAATGTTTTGATTTGTTCATGTGATTGCCAGCATTTTAATTTTAAACAAAGCACAAGATAAAACATTTTCTTTACCTTTTAACAGCAAACTACAGATTTGTCTGAGAAATATTTAAGCATTGTAAATAAAAATACTAGAATTGTGAACATTGTGAACACCTATAATTACAGCTCTGTGATTTTGATATGAACATAGATGGAGGATGGATGGATACTCGTTCCGTCTTTGGACAACAGGTGCACATGACGATATCCTGTAAAAAAGAAGCTTTTTGTTATTCAGAATCAGAATCAGAATGAGTTTTTATTGCCAGGTATGTTTACACATACGAGGAATTTATTTTCATGACAGACTTATTTGTAAGAAAGCCAATTCATTTTCAATGATTTAGAGTATAGGTCTAATGACACTGGGTCTCATACACTAATAATACTACTAGTAATGTAATATGTTTCAACTGGTTCTAAATTTTTATCTTAAATTAAAAAATAGAGAAAGTGCAGGCTTATTGATGAATGAGGATTTCTGTGTGGAAACATTCATACACAGGCTGTGTTTGCATGGTTATTGAATAACATATATTAAGATATTAATATAAGATATATATTAACCCATTCAGATAATATTTTTTTAACTTGTATACTGTATTATTATAGGCCTACCTGGTTGAATATTGGTAAAAGGTATAGTGTATTGCCCTATGAAGTCATTCCTTGATGCTTTATCATAATCTTCAACTACAAAACGCACTAGTGCCAGCTCAGGGGTGTGGATTGTGAACTGCAATGATTCATTCCAGTGTGGGTTGAATCCTGTCCAGATGAAAAAAGTAGAAAAATCACTGCAAACAGCAGGACATATAGAGGATTCCTATGGTTTGTAAATTAAGGAGACTTGTCATCATAACAGGTCATGTCTGTTTCCACATTATTAAAGTTACAAACACATACTGTATTATGCACAATTTCCATTTGTCTCTCTTGTAGTAATTTGGCAACACTTCAGTCCATTTAATTTTCGTTTCCTCACCATTGTTGTCAATGTATTTGGTCTCCTGTTTGGCTCGATCCAAAGGAACGCCATAAATTTCCACCCTTACCAGGGGGTCTACAATGGACCATTCTTTTTGCTTTACTTTAGGGAGCTGTTGTCTGCAGCGATCTAGATTAAGTGCTCAACTACTCCATTATTAAAAGAACATCCAAACAGGCGAATAAAATAATTTTTCAATGAACTTTTTAACCCTCAACTCTTATATCTAAAGCAAGGGTCTTCAACAGTGAGTATATGATCCCTAAAGGGTCTACCATTCACTGCTCAATCGCAAAATGTTTTTTTTTTTAAAGAATAAAAAAAAAATGAATTAAGCTATATAAACACTATAGTAAGCTAACTCCAAGCAAAGCAAAAGTTAAGAAGTTCAGCTAAATATTTCATTGTGCCTACCACATTAAAGGGGTCATATGATGCTGCTAAAAAGAACATTATTTTGTGTATTTGGTGTAATGAAATGTGTTTATGCGGTTTAAGGTTAAAAAAACACATTATTTTCCACATACTGTACATTATTGTTTCTCCTCTATGCCCCGCCTTTCTGAAACGCATCGATTTTTACAAAGCTCATCGGTCTGAAAAGCAAGGTGTGCTGTGATTGGCCAGCTATCCAGTGCGTTATGATTGGCCGAATGCCTCAAGCGTGTGACGGAAATGTTACGCCCCTACCATATTGTGAGGATGCCCGTCAGGTTGGAGCGATGATTCAAAAATATGAAAACCCATTATAAACGAGGCATTCGTTGCAT